TAATGTTTAAGCATTTGTCTATGAAAGATCTAGGTATTTAAGGTTTGAGCCAATATTATTTATATATTTGTATTCCTCATCGATGAATTCGACTGCAAATTCTCAAGACACGAAAAACATTGTTGAAAATACTGACTGTTTGACTTTATTATGGTGGGCAGAATAATAATGAATGAATGAACACACATTCTTGGTTTTCATAAATACTGAACTTAAAAGTGTTACCTATTATGTGTATCAGACAGTCTAGGAATGGCAATTACAGTCTTGCTCTAATTCCACAGTGAATTTGATCGAGGGGCTAAGTTGTTAAGTTGGCAGGAAAGCTTTTAGGTCCTCACATGGCCAGAGACATAATACATCATCAACATATCTAAACCAGACTGCTGAGGGTGGTAAAATATTACTAATAGTTTTTCAAAGAATTCCATATAGGTTGTTAATAGAGTGGATTACCCATTGCCATACCAAATTTTGAGCATAATATTCCATTGAATTCGAATTTGCAATCTTAATACATAGTTTGATGAGTTCGATGAAGTCGTCTTTCGAGACGGGCAGAAAATGTTATCCAGGAATCTATGAGGAACTCCAGTAAATCATCAACTGGGACCTGTAAGAGTGACGTACATCAAAGCTGACCAGTTAAAATCATGATTAATGTGTAAGTTATTGGTTTATCAACCAGATCCATATTATTCTTGATATTGGAGTTAGAAATGTTGCCAATAGGGGATTTAGTAAAGAAACATCATAGAATCTAGTCTTATTAAACATACGAAGCATTCAACATGAATTGGAGTAACTGCATGTACAAGCTGGACAATTTTGTAATTAAGAAGATTTGTGATCAGGTGAGAAGGCCGGTCACTTGACCATCTGACCTGACCACCAACCGTTGTGTGCTATTTAAAGGTTAGTAGGGTCATTACCTAATACCTGACCATTGTGGGACTGGTCTCACCCTCCTCTGTATATATACACCTTGATTTGTATTACTTTCTAGTCTGTACTCACCCCTGAAGATGTGAATTACAGAAAGCGCTTAAACTCGTGTTTTTCTTTTCCCAGGTTATATATATATATATATATATATATATATATATATATATATATATATATATATATATATATATATATATATATATATATATATATATATATATATATATATATATATATATATATATATATATATATATACATACATACATATATATATATATATATACATACAGCCACCTTGACTTCACGACGTTGGGACCCCAAATCCAGGTCATCGAATATCGTGAAGTTGAAAATGCTAAAATAATACATAGAAAATCTAAAATGGGTGTCTTTTTCTTCTCAGCACCAAAAATCTCACTTTTAAGCTTGCCAGTCATTTTAAAGGAATTACAAATGAAAATTTGTCAGTACACAGCGCAATCACTAATGTCGAGACCTCAAAATACGTAATTTGAAAAAAATTTTTTGGTCTGACTGGGGCGGTTGTATGACCGGTGGTCATATATATATATATATATATATATATATATATATATATATATATATATATATATATATATATATATATATATATATATATATATATATATATATATATATATATATATATATATATATATATATATATATATATATATATATATATATATATATATATATATATATATAATAGTGAGTCTCTGCTATAACGTTTTGATAACGCAATTTGCTCTAACGCTGATTTATGAATCTCGAACAATATTTGTATAATCATGTAACGCTTGCTCTATAACGCCATTTTGCTTACTATTTCCAATTTTGTGGTATTAACTGTCAATATGGAAGAAGAATATCTCCAAAGCGCTTCTGATGATAGAATTCCGGTGATTATCAAAAGAAAGATATAACACTTGAAGAGAAGCTGATGTTACCAACCTCAAAATCACCCTTCTCTCCCCATCAAGTTACATCCATATTTTTTCGCTGCAAAGTGTTACATTTACTGTCAGGATTTCATTATTAGATAAAGTAACATTTATTTAGACTGTGCTATCCTTTGTGTTAGGCTAACTACTAAATTTTTTCTTAGTAATCTGCACCTAACCTATTTTCTCCATAAGCCCTGTTATTTCATTACGTGATTTCTATAACACGTATATTTTACAAGAACACAATTATCGTTAAGAGAAGAGAATTAATATATGTATATATATATATATATATATATATATATATATATATATATATATATATATATATATATATATATATATATATATATATATATATATATATATATATATATATATATATATATATATATATATATATATATATATACATACAGGTATATATATACACAGTGGTCCCTCGGTTAACGAACAGTCCGATTAACGAAATTTCGGTTAACGAATTAGCTCCCATAAGGATTTTCAGTTCTATTAATGAACAAAACTTCGATTAACGAAATCCTTACGACAAACACGTTTTGTTGTGCGCATCAGCTGATCGGCTAGTCCGTCAATCCAGCAATTGGTTCTATCTTTACATTCGTTTCCAGTGAACTAAATACTGTATCAAGAAAGTTGGTCTCTTGAATATTTCTGCAGTTTTTTAAATTATAATTATTGGTGATTCTGAAATTTAGTTAACATATTGATAATATAGACAGTACAGGGAACAGTTTTTGTGTGCCCATCAGCTGATTGAATCACCCAACAACGCTTCTCAGTTTAACTTTGTTTACAGTGGAGTGACCATCGGTTTTGTTGTTCTCTTGAATATTTTTGCATTTTTACATTAAAATTATTGGTCATTCTGAAATTTAGTTAACATATTGATAATATACAGCGCTGAAATTATTATGAAACACGAAGAAGGCAATAGAACCAATGCACTCCGTTAAGAATATGGCATGTCATCATCGACTGCCTCTACAATCAGCTGTTTAATATGTAAACTAAGCTGCCGGGAATACGACATACACACTTCAAAGTAAGCTAAAATACAGTATTCTATTGCTTTTTATTGATTATTGTGTAGTTTACTGTACAGTACAGTACTGTATTTAGTTTATATTTAATGTTTTGTTAATTCTATTACTGGTATACAGTACTTTTTCTGTGAGTTGGAACCAATTACCCAATATCCCATTAAAATAATAGATTCGGTTATATATATATATATATATATATATATATATGTATACTGTATATATATATATATATATATATACGGTATATATATTTCATTAGCCCATAAAGCGCGCGGACTTCTACATATAATCAACAACCTCACCCCCGATTATATGTAGAAGTCCGCGCGCTTTATGGGCTAATGAAATATATATGGAACCTCGTGTTTCGAAGCCGGATTTGGTAAAACGTTACTCTGATCACCTAAGAGGCACTGGTAGTCACCAATTGGAGGTTCACGGCACCATAAGTTCGATGAACAGGCTTTGTATGAAATATAACAAAGTCTAGGACTGCTTTTTGTGTCCTTGTGGTCTAGAGGTAACGTTTCCCGGTCACACACATAAGATCGTGGGTTCGAGTCCTGGTGGGGTGAGGTTGTTGATTATAATTGTAATTATATATATATATAATTCATGTACTGTAGATCCACAATGAAAACGTGGATAAGATAAATCTTGATAAAATCACACGGGAAAAGGGAAACAACGGAGCACCTTAGCTTTCGTCTTTATTCAAGACATCTTCAGAGGCAACTGGATTACATGGACAGAGAGAGGCTTAAATATACAGGGTGACCTTATAAAACATGAGGTCAGGTCATAATGATGTCATCCACTAATCCACACACCAACACACACGTAGAGGAGCTAAAGAGAAGGGGGTGACGTGACTAGTCAGGTCAGGTCAAAAATAAGGGACCCACTAAATAACTATCATACATCTAGATCAAAGGTTTTCAAAGCATTTTTAACCTTGGGCCACTGACAAATAAATTAATGTAACATAATATCAGTTTTGAACTGACCATCACTAAGGTTTATTGATTTTAATTTCTTAATTAAACTAGCTTCAACCAGAAGTCTTTCTGTGACACAAGATGATTTAAATACTTCTAAGCTTTTTTCCCAAGCAATGGGATGATTATTATTCCTAACATGAACGAACAGGGCACTGCTTTCAGATGCTGTTCTGATATTGTACTTATGTTGTTTGATTCTGAGCTGCAGTGTTTTTCCTGTCTGTCCTACATATTTAAGCCTCTCTCTGTCCATGTAATCCAGTTGCCTCTGAAGATGTCTTGAATAAAGACGAAAGCTAAGGTTCTCCGTTGTTTCCCTTTTCCTGTGTGATTTTATCAAGATATATACATATATATATATATATATATATATATATATATATATATGTATATATATATGTATGTATATATATATATATATATATATATATATATATATATATATATATATATATATATATATATATATATATATATATATATATATATATATATATATATATATATATATATATATATATATATATATATATATATATATATATATATATATATATATATATATATATATATATATATATATATATATATATATATATATATATATATATATATATATATATATATATATATATATATATATATATATATATATATATATATATATATATATATATATATATATATATATATATATATATTATTTACTTTTTTCATTGCAATATCTGGAAGGGCAACCTGTCCTAAGTGTTAAGTTTAGTGTTATTTTTGCCATGATCTTTAGTGAGTTGTAGCTGCACCTTATCAGGTATGTAGGGTTCAGCCTTGAGATTGCAGGTTTGAAATTTTCTTGGCTCATAAGTGAACACATTGTCCATTATGTTTAGCTGTCATGTCACAAAAACTTCTGAAGATGATGTTGTCCCAGGTCAGAAAATTTAAATATAATTTATTTTTAAGAACTCAATAAAGACAGCCTCTTACTATCTCCCCTCTATGTTCTACGGAACCACCAGAAACGTCCAGGTTGCAATGATGGTCGTAAGGTAAACAGCTCGTGTTAACCCACTGCTTATGATGTTTAGCATGTTAAATTGTAGTCTTTTTTATTTTAAACGTAGTCAATGTTCGCTGCAAAAATTAGAAAGTTTAGGTAAGATGTTTGTTTACATTTGTTAGTTGCATGTTTCATTGAGTAGAAGTTGCTTCTTGTGCATGTGGACTGTGCATTATTTTTTTATGTGTTAAAGCTGTATAATAGCTGATGATAAATGAAAATCTGAATAAAATCTGGACTACTTTAATGTTTATCATATGTAATCATTCTGTATTGGTTGATAAACTTGTGTTCCTTTGTAAATCCTCAGAGATTTAGCCCCCTACTGTACACTGCAGCACCACTCTTTGACATCATTCTTTTACTCAGCCATACAAACTCTTATGTATCCACAATTATAAATATGTTTTTATTGTTTTAATAATTCATTCACAAGTACTATAGTATTGATTTGGTCCCACCATTACTAATTGGGGAATTGTTGATACTGCACCAAGGCAAGTTAAATGCTGATCTCAGATACAAAGGCTTATTATTTAAAGACTGTTAAGAATGGTTAACAATGTGCAGTTTATACTTTGGAACTCCTCTGTTCAAAAACTTTCAGATAGGTTATGGTTACTTTTAATGATGATATTAGCACAGTTGGTTGATAAAGTTTTAAACATTATTATTTCTTCCATCCATTCATGTAACGCTTCAACTTCAGTTTACAAATTGTACTCGTATTTAGAGAAACTCCAGACGAACTCTTGAATAGATTTATAAGCAATTGGTGTTTTACAATATCTTAGCTTTAGCACTCAAGATTGACATTGTGATGCAGTAGAGTAATTTAGACTTTTAACTGTTCTGCAGATGTTTATGAAAGATTTCTTGTATTTCACATACAGTATTGCTGTAGTGTGTTGATAGCAGTTTACATGTATTGGCTTGAACAGTAGCCATAAGGGTGAAGAAGTATGTGGTGCTCCCAGGTGAAGGACAGATACAAACCACCATCATATTACTGTACCAAGTTTTCTTTATTCATAACGTACATTAGCACATTGTAGTGACTTTTCCTCAAGTGTTGTGGTTACTTAACACATAAAAATGGCATTAATGCTCAGTCATGTGAGAAGTGACTGACGCATTTTGGTGTGGGAGAAACTTTACACTTGTAGGGCACTTTTATTACTTATTATGGTTATTTTTACATTATATTATGTGCTTTTAACACTATTTATGCTTCATATTCAGGTACACACAGACTTAGTTTAAAATAGTGGATGATGCAGACAACATTTATGTGCGAAACAATTGACATATAATAAAAATTTCTTCCTATGTTTATTAGCGACTGTCTGAGAAGTGAGGTATATCAGTATAATGTATAGTGAGGACCCCCTGTAGATGCTCTTTGTGGGCTAACCTAACCAGTAAGCTCCTTTATCCTGGACTTGCCGACCATACCCCTAGGTGCTTTCTTTATGTTGTTACATGAAGAACATAACCTCATTCATAATGTATGCCACTTTGAATCTACAAATACGGTCAATCAATCAAAGTTCTGTCCTCATACCTGAGGGTTAGCAACCAAACATACAGTACCTGATGCAATTGAAGATTTACAGGTAGTTTTCTTTTCCTTTGCATTTGTTAACATCACTGGTGGTATTGTTGCCAAGTTAGACTCACCATCGTAGCCATATTACCCGAGTCCTCATGCTACCAGGCTGAGCTATGTTTTAATTCATAATTTTGGGTAGATATACTTTTATTTTTTTTTTACACAGTTACATGCACACACAATCCTACATAGATACTGTGCCAAAAAAGTAAACGATTTATCTATCATTAGGTAAAAGACAGAGGGAATTAACATTTATTTGTGTGCAAGAGTTACTGTAGTAGGCTGAGCTGGAGAGTGGAGTGTGGGAGCCCCATTGCTAGGGGGTCAACAGAGGGAGCATCCCAGCTGGGCTCCATTGATATGGTTTTCCCGAATGGTTTTTGTTGTATTTTCCGTCTAGATACAGTACACTATGTCCTCATTAATCCAACAAAAACGGAAGATCTTGGACACTCGATTTACAGAAAAATCCAACTGAACCGAGTTCAGAATATATTGACATTATGAAACAATTTCTGATTTTTTTGTGTTTGATTATTTGTTCGTTTTCTGTTCAGTTTTTGCACTTTGCCTTTGGGTGCCACATAAAATAATCTACAGTATTTATAATTACTGTGCATACAGAAATAATAAAGTAAATACTCCAATAATAAAAAAATTCTACCTCTGCGAGGTGAGCTGACGAGGCAAGGGGTGAGATGACAAGACAGCAGGTGAGGTGACATGACAAGGCACTTACATAGCACTACTAAATCATTGTCTTATAACATTTTAATTTATATTTTAAATTTAATTGATACATGATGGTTCAATTTGGCTAATTTTGCACTTAAACAACTGATCATGGCATAAGGAGACGCATTATACACTACAGTACAGTAATATTTATTAAGTTGTGATAAGTATGCCACATTATTAATTATCAAGTGCTCAAGACAGATCTTGTGGTGAGCACCAACCCCCTTGAGCAGTGACAACAATGGTGCTTGAGAGATGGTGAGTGGTGGTAACATTGTTAGGGAGAGCAGGAGCGAGATGCTGTTACCATTGTGTAAGCAAGAGACTGGGAATATACATGGTGCAATAGCTTGTGTGGGATTTTTTAGGCAAAATTATTTTTTTTTTTATCCCCCCCCCTCCCTCCTGTATTCTATTAACCTAGCATCAAATGAACCTAAATTATATGGGAATTATAGTAAAATTGCATCCTGTCATTATAAAGGGATCGTGGGTTGATAAGCACGGGAGGTGAGTTGTACGCTCCTACCTATGCCACCCTAAACCTCTTCTCCCTGGCTATTCACCAAAATTTAGTTTTGTACAGTATCTTAATATAATTCATATTCTATTCCTATAATTCATTCATCTTAATGTATTTCATAATACATTCCTCTAATAATAATAAAAATTTTGGAACCGCTCGGTTATTTCAGATTCATTCAAATTCAAATCGTTTAATTCAGTTTTGTAAAATCATATGAAATAAGCCAAAATCTTAATTCTAAAAAAGCCAAATCAATAAGGGTACAGTTTAGTATACAAAGTTGTTTGATGTAGCACAATTGTTAAATAACATACACAAAGTAGGTAGTATGGCTTATGAATGCTGGAAAAGGAGATACAGGGAGTAGAGAGTTTGCTTTAGCCATTAGGCTTACTGTGGAGGCTGTTACCTTACAACATCAGTGATAATATTCCTTACATTTTTTAAATATTTTTACAACAAGTTCGGTATGTACAAGAGTATAATTGGATTTACGAACTAGGTTCAGGAAAGTCAGATGTTAGTATTGAGAGGAGCGCCTGTATATTTTCTTTATTTGTAAGTCACATTTGAGCATTGAAATTATATTCTCACAAGTCTTTTGGTTCGCATTCAGCCATGAATTATGAATATTTGAAGGCAAAATTTACTAAAAGAGCTAGAAAAAGAATCACCCACAAATTTGAGAATGGGAATTTGTTTTTTGCAAATTATCACTACGTACTTCTCTGTACAAAGCAAAATGGTCCCTTCAATATGTCTGTGTAAAGAGAGTTAAATGGGCTGGCCCCTAACCTTGTGCTGCCCCACAAACACTTTGGCTGCTACTTAAATCTTTCACCCATTTTCTATTTTTTTACCAAGGTCAATCCCCTCCTTGTACAGTACTGTGTTACTAATGTTTTTGTGTAGAACTAGTTCATGTGTGCTGACATGAGCAATTACTTCTTTTGATAAATTCTTTTCTGTAGCCGTAAAGCACCATAAGACAGTGGACATACTGTAATACTATACAGTATGGGGTTTTGATGATTCTATTAACATACTGTATCCCACAACAGGTGTCATATACCAGAGAGTTAAAAATGTCTCCCTTTGCACTTTCTTGATTTCATCTGTGATCATAATTATTATGTTCTTGTGGTCAATATTTGACTCTTTTAATGGCCTTAATAACAGCGATGTAATAAAGCTGGTGTCACTGTCATTCTCGGTGGGGCCTTGTGAAGATGCTTCCTGAACAGTGTTTTTATAGCCTGGGTTTAGTTACTTGTAGAAGCAATATTATGTAAGAAGAGTTCTTTACATCTAAGTGGTCCACTTGGACTGTAGCTCCCATTGGTGGCCTGAATCACATTTTTTTTAATTTCAGACTTATGTTTGAGATCTCTTAAAGTTTCCTGTTTTCATTTTTGTATAACATTATGTTGTACTTCATTAACCTCTGCCCCAGTGCTTCTGTTTTCTCCACATTCATACATGATAATGAGATTCTCTTATTTTTTCTGACATCTTTATCTGTCGATGCAAGTACAGTAGGCGCTAACTCCTGCACACAGATTTTGAATATTTTTATGGTTTTTCATCACCTGAAGAAAGTGTCGGTGACATTGCTTGCAGAAGATTGTGTTTATACTATACTGTGATATAGATAGGAAATATTTTCTTGCAGTTACCAGGTAATTTTCAGTTTTGGGGAGAAGCAATAATTTTAATACTGTACGTATATTATTGTTAAAAAAAATCAGTGAAATAACTATCTTATTTTCTTCTCGCAATTTTTCTCTTAATAATTGAGGAAAACTTGAGCATTACACTACACTATTCAAACTGATTTCTGTTTGTCCATAGCACTATTGTGTATGGCTAAACCTTATTCAGTAGAACACATTATCTTTGTACAGAACTGTAAATTTTTTCAAATAAATTTGGTCTTGAATCCCATCTGCACAGAACTGTGCATTGATCTGTATATCATGAAGATTTTTATACACAGACTCATAGTTTTTGCTGAATGAAAGATTTTTTGTATAATTGTGTAGCATTATGCCCCATACAAAACATGGGTGGCCTGCCAAGTGTAATGGTGTAAGTGGTGCTTAGATAGATT